TCCACCAGTACCCCCAAGTTCTTCTCAGCAGAGCTCTCGATCCCTTCATCCCTCAGCCTATATTGATACCAGGGGTTGCCCTGACCCAGGTGCAGGATCCTGCACTTGCCCTTGTTGAACACAGGTCCATTCCTTGAGCTTGTCCAGGTCCCTCTGGATGATATCCCATCCCTTGTCAATGACTTGACATGCAAGTCATTATTTCAGTCTGGACATGACACATCTATTCTAGCTGACTGCCTGCGGTGTCTTGAAACAAGAAAGGTGTTAGGAAGAGGACTGAGACACCATGGGAGCAGATCCTGTCTTACTGCTGCCTATTCCCTTCCCTGGCGTGTGAGCCAGTAAAGCTGAACTGGTGCAAAGTGGACAAACATCACCTCACTGCAATGGGGGCAGGCCACAAAGCAAGGGCTAAGGAAGTGTGGGAGTACCTCCAAGTGTAGCAGCTCCTTCTCATTCACACTTGAGACTAAAGGCACAGCTTAGCCTGTGCTTATTTTCTTTCTCGCCCTCCTCCCTTTCTCAGCGTGTGACCAGCCTGCGCTGCAATTACAGGATCGCATGCCTCTGCCGGCATGGCTGGCAGAACACAGCAGCTATGCCAGCGGACAGTTTGTCCTCTTCTCCAATGCCAGATTTCTCAGGTTTGATCTGTGTGCTTGTTTGTTTCCACCATAGATTTCCAAAATGACTGAAAACATTGGCTAGGAGACAGCACTCCGACTGATGTTAGCTAGTCGAGATGAAACTATGCCAGGGTCTGGATAAAGCACCCAAAATTCACCCCCACAACTGGCAAGAACTGGCATGCCTGCTGCCAGTGCATGCAGAGACACAAGCACTGAACGGAGCATGGAAAGCAAAGAGCTTCTCTTCCACCTGAGATGGGACCTATTCTCAGCCACGTATGTGTAGCCAGAGTACAGATACCCACACACGCTGAAAGTCAGCAAGAACCAGAAACCACAGCTGAGAACGTTAAAATCTGGAGATGCTACAGCTGAGGATTTACACTGAGCAGGCCTCAACAGCTTTCCTGACTGGGGATAAATACAGATTTTTTCACTGCCTTACCACAATTACGTTTGGAGAACGTGGAGGGTTTCAGTGCTCACCACAGGCAGTCTCTGAAGTGTGGCACGGCAATTACACACCTTCAGTTCCCAGGCACACACCATACATGCTGTCGAAGGCTGTAACGAAGGAAGAAGGAGGCAGCCAAAGACCTTCGTATCAGAAACAAAGTTACCTTGAGAAGAAATGGTGTTTGGGTTGCACTGGTAGTATCTGCTGGAGAAGTGGATTAAAACTCTCTCTCGTTCCTGAGTTTCTCCGATAAGTGAAAAGGCTTTAAAGAAACTTCTAAAAGAAGAGCAGAAAAAGGTGAAATCAAAGTCTTAAATCTCTTTTTGCCTCACGCAGCTCACAGAGTACATCACCTTACTTCACAGCAAGAAGTACATAAGCACACACCAGACATTTGGTTCTGAGAAGACTTTCTAGAAAAACAGGCTATAATCCTGTTTGCAATTAATCCCATCATGTAACGAAGCAGGAGTTAAATTACCATTGGTCTCAGCCACGGAATATACAAACTAATACAGAATTACACCATTTGAAAGAGCTGTTCTTATTTTTAATAATTTTCTTTGGGGAAGGAACTGGAGCAGGTGTTGTTTATGAATGACAGACATCCACGGTGTTCTCTGTCCTTTTCTAATTGTCTGTCACCCCCGCACCTTTTAATGTTACACTCACTAGTATTCCCACCCAAATCAGAGGAGCTACTCCAGGCGGTGAAGTCAAGCAGGTGCACTGGAGACTCAGACCCCACGCCAAAGGTGTAGTCCTCCTTCTGGAGGGTGACCTATCAGACCAGCCAGGCCACCTTGCAGAGGGCAATGTGACTACCTGACCTGCAGAAAACATCTGGAGAAGAGGGCAGAAGAGTCACAACATCTCCCACTGAGCTTCAACAGTGGGAGGAGCAACCTGGCCCTCCTGGGCTCCTGCTCATGACAGTCCAGAGTGCAGGGCTGGTGCTCACCTTGGCACGTTCATTAGAAACAGCCAGCGAGCCTGTGCAAAGAGGTGGGACGCACACACATCTTCCACTCTTCATCTGACACTTAACTACCCTACCTCTTAACCATGCCGCTATTCTTCCTGCTACAAAAACTCGCCTCACAGCCAAAGAAGAACTTCTGCACTTCCCAAAATCCCCATATCCTGGAGCCAAGAGATGACCTCAGCAGTATCAGCCTACGCTCCTTTGTCAGGATGCTTCTAAGAAAAGCCTGAAAATACAAACCTTCTGCTTCCGAAGCAAGACGGCACACAAAATGAGTGCCTAATACACAATTTTAACACCCAAAATAGACTGAAACTGACACCAGATCTGAGACGTGTGGAATATGTTGGTGGAACACTCACGTCTATCTAGCCTGGACAAATAAACATTAATTTTTTTCTCTTCGATGCAAGATCAGAGATGGGCTGTACCTGCATTGATCTCACACCCATACGGAGTGTGATCTGCCTGGTAATAACTTAATTTTACATGTAATGTATTGCGAATAACCCAATTCACAAGTAGATACAACTGAGTCTTTGCAGGGTTTCTCTTGCCTTCCTACCTCATGTCCCCATGGGACATTTTGACACCTAGCCATCTTTCCCCCTCTTCCAGCGCGGGCTCTTTCCAGTGACATCCCCTGCCCACGCCAGGCATCACTGACCTACACCCTCTCCTCCTCTTCAGCACCTTTACCGCCCTGGAAGCCATCTCAGAGAGGCAACTGATGAAACAACATTTGGTATGTAAACAAGGCAGGTTCTTTGCTCTCAGAGCACAATGCAGCGGCCAAGGGCCACGGGGGCGAGTTTCCGCCCACTGGGAGGATCAGGATGGACTCTGAGAGGGGCTGGAGCAGCGGTCCCACCTCCTCCCCTCCTGCGGTCCCGCAGAGGACACAAGAGATGCACTTGGGAGATGCATGAGCAATGTGAGTCCAGAGTGTGGAAGTAGACGAGGATGACGAAGGACCAATCCTCCCCATGTCCCAGACTTGCCACTGACAGTGATACGCACTGCACAATGGCCTCCCACAGCCTGGGGTAGCACAGGTCTGGGGCTGCCACCTTGGGCTCCAAAATGCTTAACAAACCACAGCTTGTCAGCCAGCCAGCAGCAACAGGGTGGTTACCTCTGGCTCTCTACAAGCCTGAGGGAGCACGCCTCGGCTCCCCAGGCTTCGGGACGATGCTCTGTCTCTGGCCTCTGCTGCATGCTCAGGGCGTGCAGCCAGCAGTTGCTGCAGCTACTCCTGAAACCTCAGCAAACCCCTGATGTGTCTAAGTCCCACATGAGCCAGGGCATATTTTAGAGAAGGTCATGACTATTAATATTAACAGGAGATCTACTGGGAGCAGAGACCTCCTAAATATGTGCCACAAAGCAATTAAGTTTTGGATTTCACAACTTAAAAGATGGGTATATTTAGCATCTTGCTTCAGGGCTGCTGAAACCCGGAATGTGCAGCAGACCTCCCCCGTTGCCCCGGCTGCTCCCACCCTGCGCAGAGTGGGTGTCTCCAATCCCCCGGCCGCAGGCGCGTCTCCCTTCTGCCACCTTCAGCAGGCAGGACTCTGGGCTTTCCTTGGGGTCTGCTACGGTCTCCTGGAGTTAACCCCCTGGAAATGCATTTGCAATAGGACTGGCAAGTGCCTGTGGACCTCCTGGTTTTGTCTCACTAGAAAAAAACTATAACCCACTTAAGTAACCTCAGCCAGATGATCTAAAGCCCCTTTAAATCCCTTTACACACCCAAACACCAGCAACCATGCTAACAGGCCACTGCTACACAAAGTTGGTGTTTTGCCTACTAAGAAAAAAAACCACTGGAAACAAACATTGTTGAGGCCTAATTCCAGTGTAAAAAGGAAGGAAAATTGAAGGGCTGGGTTTTCAAACACCCACGCTGTCAGCTACCAAACTCTCAATGGCATTTTCCACGCGGAAGCTTTTGCTGTTCTGCACATTTTTGGGTGCCTGAGAGGGACGCAGGGAGGAGGGCTGCTGAGCCACATCAAACCCTGGCCCTGGCTTTGTGAACTGCAGCAGGGCAGAGCAAGCTCCAGAGGCCATCAGCCAAAAAGTCTCCACAGCTCAAGGCCCTTCACTCCCCAGCAGCACCTGGCAGACTCCAAGTCCCCTGTTTACCGAGTAACTGGTCATTTTTCTCCATCTCCTCTGCATCAATGACCATCTCTAAGCAGGTCCACCCTAAGATTTCCCTCTCCAGGAAATGCCACTGCTGCAATAGCACTCTGGAGTACAGCAGCATGCCAAGCTAAATAGAAGATAAATGCTCCGTCCCAAAAACGCCCCATATCCCTCTCTTCACCCACTTAAGCACCCACAGGGCAACCGCTTCAATCAGGACAACAGAGCAAACAGCACTGTTACTAAAACAAGAACATAAGGTCTGCAGATGGGCATGTACCTGAGTGAGTAGTCGAGCGTCATGCCTGTGAAGTCAAAAAACTTAAGGTATTCTTCGGCCACAAGCTTGCTGAATTCATTGCTTTAAACAAACACATAAATATGTAAAGGTTATCATTTGAGAGTGAATCCCTCCAGAACCAGCAAGAAGAACAACGTGGCCAAAGGCCTCATATCATCAGCACGTACTTTTTACCCAAATGCTTTGCCACATCGGACCGTTTGAATCTGTCCAGATGGTAGAGGCGTTTAGCCAGGCGCCTGGCTGCTTCCAAATTGCTGCTGCCATTGCTGAGATCATGGCCAGGAGCTCTGGTGGCATCTTTCTCCTGAAGTTTATTGCTCCCCATGGCAGCACTGGAGTTTAACACCACATTCTGCAGTTTAGCATTGCTATGAGACAGAAAGAATATGGAAAGAAGAAAAATAAGGTGACATTACAGTTTCAAGAAGGATTTAATTCCTCTTAGAATAGAAGTCAATTAATGGTACAGAGGCAAGATCACACAATATAGCACGTTCCACTTAATCGAAGGAGCTGTGTAGAACAGGGACGTTTATTTAGCAGTCATCAAAGGTTAAGAGAGTTAAACACAGAGACCCAAATATGGGCTTTCCAGCCCAGAAACACAGTCTGCTCTGCACTCACCTTCTGAGTGTGCTGAGTGTCCACAACTTCACAGTGCTCGCTTCACAGAGAGCTGTTTGCTATTATCAGACTACAACTGCACCTGACAACACTGGCTCCTCATTTGCTTCTTGCACTAGTATTTTTTAACCCAATCACTTGCTTGGCTTGAGGGGATCCCTGTAAAAGTAGGCCATTAGCCGTTTTCCAGGGGAAAATGCAGCGAGCAAGCCAGGGTGTTCACTAGCTCCAAGCTGACTCGGCACAAGTCTCTTCCTCATTCTTCCCCAGTTGTCCTGGAAACAATACAACTCCCCAAATCTAAAATAACATCCGCAGAAGCCTCAGCGGCTTCCGTGCCGCCCATGAGCAGTGGGCATCCCATGGGGATGCACCACTAGAAAAAGCAGGACTCAGAGCAAGGAACCCACTTTGGGGAACAGGAGAGAGACACAAGCCACCGAGGCCAGCCTGGAGAACTGCTTGCTTTCCTCCTCCTCCCTTGCAGTGGCATTAATTTCCCTCACTGGCTGCTCAAAGTCTGGATGTTCACATGGCAATCCCGGGCACTTTACATAAAACATGCATTTATAGATTCCTCCCACCTCTGCTACAGTAGGAAGCTCTGGCTGAGCTGTGTGCCTGCTTTGCTTCTCCCCTCAAAGAGGGGAGAAGAGCCCTCCACACCAGAAAGTGCACCCCCACATACACACCCCTGCCCGCAGGCAGGCTTTTAACTTTGGAAAAGCTTTTCTCTGACACTGGCATGAAAATTCTTGCAAAACCTTAGCTCTGTGTGTGTGTGTGTGTGCGTGTGTGTGACAGCATGTCTATTTAAAAAAAATACTATACAGAAATTCTTCCCTCTAAATCCTCATTTACACAGGGCTAGTGAACAATCAGCACGGGTCATGCACAGGGCAGATATGAGTGGAATGAGTTAAAGATGATTTTAAACACAACACTTCAACATACCATGGTTTCATACACCACTGTAATCTTTGGGCTTGACAAGCCACAGTTAGAAAAACTGATCGCTGCACTCCAATAACAATTATCTAGCCATTTACTGAAATGTCTGCTAGCCACTTATTAACCCCTTGAAGATCCGATTTTCAAATAATGTGAGCTGAAAATAAAAATCTTTGCTATTCTGCATGCCTCCTTCCACACAAATCATCACGTCTGTGCCCTACATCTCTTGCCATGCATCGTTTAAGAGAAGGAGGTGTGTGGTACTCCGACAGGAAGGAGACTTGCCCGTTTCACCTCTACTTTCATATTCCTAGTGCTGCTAGAACATCAGAGTATCACACATCCACACTGTGGATACAACTTTTTTTATGAAGTATCTAGGGAAAAGTCCTCACTACAAGGACGAGGACCATCTGCTGGTCAAACTAAAGGGCAAGAAGGAAATGCACAGACAGTGGAAGCAGGTTCAGGTGTCCTGATAACAGTACAAGGACATTGCCCCGTTGTGTAGGGATAAGGTCAGGAAGGCCTAGGAGAGGCTGGAGCTGAACTTGGCAAGGGATGCAGAGAATAATAAAAAGGGCATCTAAACGTATGTCAGCCAGAAAAGGAAGGTCAAGGAAAGCACACCCTTGTTGATAAGCAAGACTGGCAGACTGGTAAACATGGACAAGGAAGAGGCTGAGGTACTGAATGACTTCTTTGCCTCAGTCTTCACTAGCAGTGTCTCTTCCTACACCGCTCGAGGGGATGGACTGCAAGCTGGGGACTGGAGGAGCAAAGTCCTTCTCATTGTAGAAGATCAAGTTCAAGACCACCTGAGGAAGCTGAACATACATAAGTCTATGGGATCTGATGAGATGCATCCCAGAGTCCTGAGGGAACTGGCTGAGGTAGTTGCCAAGCCACTCTTAATGGTATCTGAAAAGTCACGGCACTCAGGTGAAGATCCTAGAGACTGGAAAAGGGAAACATTGCATCCATTTCTTAAAAAGGGAGCAATAAGGACCCTGGGAACTACTGACCCATCAGCCTCATCTCTGTGCCTAGGAAGATCATGGAGCAAATCCTCCCAGAAGCTATGCTAAGGCACATGGAGGCCCAGGGAGGTGATTTGAGACAGCCAGCATGGCTTCACCAAGGGCAAGTCCTGCCTGACCAACCTACGGGCCTTCTATGATGGAGTGACCACATCAGTGAACAAGGGAAGAGCTACGGATGTCATCGATCTGGCCTTCTGTAAGGCCTCTGACACAGTCCCCCACAACATCCTTCTCTCTAAATTAGGGAGAGATGGATTTGATGGGGGCACTGTTTGGTGGAGGAGTAATTGGTTGGATGGTAGTGGTCCATGGCTCAATGTCCAGATGG